ATGCGACACCTTCTCAATTTTTTACCATAGCCTCCACATATGATATATTGACATCTTATCAAATTTCATGATTTTCGGACTTCCTTTGCTTTTTATAGAATTTAAAAACCATTCAACCACACGCTCGGGGTCGTGTTTCCGAAATAAGATGTTCGAAAACCCTTATAATCTTAAAGGTAAGGCCTCAAACTGGGTTGAATAACATGAATATCAATTTTATACTCATTTTTTCCAAATATTTGAATCACTTGCAATTCAAATTTAACTTAATTCAAAAAATATCTTGAATGCAATTAATTAGTTAAATATAGCAAATAAATTCAAAAATACACCAAACTTAAGCATGGAGTACCAAATGTGGTATGTGGAGAAGTGAAAATTTTTGAAGTGCAGGAGTCAAAAAAAAAATTATACTTTGCCGAGTGTCTGCTTTTGACACTCGGCAAAGAGCCTCTTTGCCGAGTGTTGCATTTGTACACTCGGCAAAGAGCTGACGGCGGCAGGCTGGTTTAACGGCGGGCCAAAATTTACCGGGTGTGAGACGTTGACACTCGATAAAGAAAGTCTTTGCCGAGTGGCATGTCTGAGCACTCGGCAAAGAGGACGTCTTTGCCGAGTGCCGAAACTGAGCACTCGACAAAGACCAGCTTTACCGAGGGTCGTGTTGTTGTCGAGTGTTCGAGTTTGGGCACTCGGCAAAGACAGCCTTTACCGAGTGCCCGAGATAAAAAAAACTCGGCAAAGTGGCACTCGGCAAAGCTTGCGATTCCGGTAGTGACGTACCATGATCGATCTATATCGACGCTCCACGTCTTCATCTGTACTGCGTTGCCGTGCACGGATGGTGATGACAAAGCGGATGAACAGAACTAGTATAATGCATGAACTGTACATGTGCTTGCATCAGCAATTCATCATCAGCGTGCATGTGCGCCTGCTTGCAGATCGCGGGGTGATGAGCGGCGCGCAGAAGTTCGTCCAGGCCGACCTGGGCGTACGTGACGGACGCGCACCTGGAGGTGCTCATCGGCGCCACAAGCGTCTACTCCCTGGTCGGCTCGCTGGCGGCGGGGTGGGCGTGCGACCGCGCGGGCCGGAGCCGCACCATCGTGCTGTCCGCGGCGCTGTTCCTGGCGGGCTCCGCCGTCACCGCCGCCGCCAACGGGTACGCCGCGCTCATGGCGGGCCAGCTCGTCGCGGGCGTCGCATGCGGGTTCGGCCTCGTCGTCGCGCCCGTCTACATCGCCGAGATCTCGCCGGCCAACGCTCGCGGCTTCCTCTCCTCCATTCCCGAGGTACGTACGTACTGACGACGACGGCGACGGTTCTCCGCGACCGTACGTGCATGGTTTTTTTTTCTTTGAGAACAGACGGCATGTGCATGGTTTTTTTTGTTGTTGTTGAGAACAGACCGTATGTGCATGGTTGTTCGTACCTTGTTGTTCTTGATTAGGTTTGCGTGCGCGCATGGTTTTGGGGTGGTGGGTTTTCTGGGTCCGGCGAGCTAGACGCCGACTTGTGGGGGCCAGGGTGGTGAGATCGCGATCGAGGCGGCGGACAGTGTAGAAAGCAACAAAGATTTACTAATTTACTAGATTAATGCCCGTGCGTTGCAAGAAAAAATAATAATGATTAGATAATTTAGTTGAACGAAAAGGTGCAACCTAATTACTCACATATGGTCCCCTATACTAATAGGCTCGTAAATGATTTTTTTAAGCACTCCGCGGCTATTCAGAGAAGCGAACGTAACATTTCTGATCCTTTTAAATTTAAAAAGGTGAGGACACACACTAATCTGCGAGTGCTTCAATTAGATTTTGAAGGGACCGATAGTCTCTACACCTAATATATCTGATAGTATGTAAGTTAGTAGAGCTAACTATCATTTGAGTTTGATCAATTCATCAACAATACATCTATGCAGTTCACAGTCTGAACACTGCCGTGGAGGAATTTGTGGATGTACAAGTAACTACAAATTAGTTAACCAAGGTATTGGAAAAAGAAAAGGAAAGGGAACCTGATCGAGTCCCTCCTCAAGCTGCTGTGCGATGATGCTCGATCTGCTCCTCGACGTCTCGGCGTGCTCCGGCGGCGCTCGGCATGCCAAGGCCAAGTTCCTGTCCGGATGATGCTCGTCGTGCTCCTCAACATCATGGCACGCTCCAGCGGCGCTTAGCGTGCCAAGGTCGTGGAGGTGGGTGCTGTCTGCGTGCTCGTGGAGCTCCTTTCGCGATGCTGTTAGCCGCGTCACCAAGCGTTGGCTCCTCCTGCTCAAGCGCCAGTGCAAGTTCCCGGAGGGCTAGTCGTCTTCACGGAGCACACGCTGGCGGTGTCGCCCGTGTCGTGGTCCCGGTTTTTAGGTGTAGAGAGCCGAGTTGGAGATGTGGGTGTGGGCGGTGGCAGAAGGATCTCGTCCCGACGCGGACTATGCTTCCGTTTCGCTATGGCCATGCCTCTTTCAACTTGCAGCATTCATCATGGGCCTTCGGATCCGCGTGGAAGGAGGCGCTCCCGCAACGCACAGCGCCGCCACGCTCGGACCCTCGCTGTCCCCGTGCCTGGGCCTGCATGATGCGGACTCCCAACGACGCAAACTCCGCAGGAGCGTGGCCACGCGCTGAAGCGGGGCGACGGGTACAGAATTGCCTTTCGTTTTTTCCATATGCAAGTGCTCGTCCATATACGTGTTGCAACCGGCCACGAAGATGTAGAGAATTGCCTTTCCAATATGCAAGTGCGTACGTATTAATGTATTATTCCTTTCAATTATGCAAGTGCATACGTATTCCTACCGGCTTTTGTTAGAGCTATCTCCAAGAGTACCAAATATTTTATTTAAAAACATGAAATTTTGCAACTCCTAAAAAAATATAGGGAGGAATAATGAATACCATCTCCGAGTTTCAAATATTTTTATCTTAAAAAAATTTTGAGCCACACTTTTTTTTCCGCTAACCAGTCACATATTTATAATGTTTTGCATTAGGAATCCTGAATTTGTTTCTATACCCATTTAAGCCCTACGAATAGATCTTTTTCTCTTGCGCTTTTCTCACCTGGAACCCTGTCTTTCCTCCTTTTCCTTTCCCACCCCTTCTACTTCTCAGACTTGGAGCTGGGCGACGCGCAGGAGCGGGTCGACGGGTTGGGCAACGTAGACGATACCTCTATGTATTTTTTAGTGTAGAGATAGAGATAGAGATTTCCAGCGAGTCATCATTGCACAAAATTAAGTTAGCGATTTCGTTACTGTTATTATTATGTCTGATGACATCATGCTTGCGCGTGCGACGTCAAATCGCCAGCAACTCAACTGGCGCCTGATGATCGGCATCGGGTCCCTCCTATTCCTAGCGGCCGCCGCTGTGGTCGCCATGCCAGAGATCCCGCGCTGGCTCGTCCTGCACGGCCACCCCCACGAGGAGCGCCGCGTGCTGGCGCGCACGGTGGGCGACGCAGACCGCTGGCTCCAGGAGAACGTGACGTCCGTGCAGGAGGCCACCAAGCAGGAGGTGGGCTCCGGCGGCGGCGGCGGCGCTCCGCCGTCGACGAGCGTGTGGCGTGAGATCCTGCAGCGACCGAAGCCGGCCGTCCGGCGCGTGATGCTGGCCATCCTGGGGCTGCAGGTGTTCCCGCAGGGGTGCGGCGTGGCGGCCATGGTGCTGTACGCCCCGCGGGTGTTCAGCCACGTCGGGATCACCTCGGAGCGCGCTGTGCTCGGCTCCACCGTGCTCCTCAGCGCCGCCAAGACGGTGGCGATCGTGGTCCCGCTGTTCCTTGCCGACCGCCTCGGGCGCCGACCCATGCTGCTCACCAGCGCGGGCGGCATGGCCGCGTCGCTCCTAGTCCTCGGCCTGTCCATGCGCGCGACCACGGCCGTGGCGTTCATGGCGACCTTCTCGCTGGGGTTCGGCCCCGTGATCTGGATGTACGGGTCGGAGATCCTGCAGCTGCGGCTGCGCGCGCAGGGGACCGGCGTTGGGATGGCGGTCAACCGGGTTATGAGCGCCGTCGTGGGGATGACCTTCATCTCCATGTACGAGGCGGTGGGCATGGCCGGCACCTTCTACATCTTCGCAGCGCTGTCCGTGGCGGCGTGGGTGTTCGTCTACGCGTGCCTGCCTGAGACCAAAGGGAGGAGCCTCGATGAGATGGAAGCACTCTTTGACACCGGTGCCGCGTCGTCGCCACGGCCGGCGTTGTCGTGACGTTCCGGACAGCGAGTACACGTATGCATCGTGTCCACGCGCGGAACAAACGCGTGAAGCTGTCAGGTGTGTAGCGTAGTGGTTATTAAACGCCAAGGTTAGATTCGGGCCAGTATACAGGCTGTTCGGCAGCCTGTAACTGCCTGTATCCGATTTGGCTTATCAGCCAGCCAACAGTGTTTTCCTCTCACACCAAACCAGCCAGCAGCTTATAAGCTAATCCAGCCGAAACGAACAGGCTATATAATTGTTGCTAGCAATAATTCTGTAGATGTATAATTTTGTACATGGAATTGCATGCCAGAAAACAAGATTAGTGACGCATCTAAACAGTAATTAGTGACGTGGAATACACCGTCACTTACATTGCGTCTGTGATGTGTACACATTAGTGACGCGTACGCGTCACTGATTTGAGTTACCAGCAACGCGTCCAGCCAAAACGCGTCACTAATTTGAGTTGCCTGCGACGTGTCCAGCCACAAAGCGTCACTGATGTGATTTACCAGCGACGCGTGTAGACAAAAAGGCGTTACTGATGTGGGTCTCATTAGCGACGTGTATAACCAGGACGCGTCACTGATAACAATTACATTCAGCCATATTTCATCTCTTTCAGCAATCAAATTCTTTATTACAAACTTTAGATACAACTTATGAAGCAATCAAATTCTTTACAAACTTTAGATACAACTTATGCTACAAAACATCTACTCAAGGAGATGTTACCTAGAAGACGCCAAACAGTACATAAGCAGATAACACATAGTATAAGGAATGACCCAACTAATTCCATGAGGCAACCTGCTTTAGCAAAAAAAAAAAAAAAAAAAAAAAAAAAAAGCAGTAGACATGCAAGTCTCCGAAGGCACCTGTATTAAACTTAATTTTTTTCCTATGGTACTCGATGACAACCTGCATTAGAAAAAAATGACACATTAAGTTAAAATGATCACAAACACATAGGCATTCTAATATAAAATTTCTTGTTACTTGTTCTTTATGGCTAAACTGGATTCTAAAATGATCAGAGAGGTGTCCAAGCTGGATTAAGCTACTTGTCACTTGTTCTTTATGGCCTATAGCAATATAGAATTTCTTTCTAGCAACATAAGTTCCCTAACAGTAAGTGTTTTAATCATTAACTAGCACTGAGTTAATAGCGCTAACAGTGAGAAAATTTACCTGTAACTGCAAGAACTTGACCCAACATCTTCATATGATAAACTCAGTCCACCATACTTCTTGTCACTTCCAGTCTGTAGAGAGAACATCTAGAGTTAGATATAATGATAACAATAGCAGGATTCAGTACATTACTAAGTCTGGCAGTGAGCTACTCCAAGAAGGTAATATAGTACATAATTTAAGACAACACCTACATAATCTACTCGCACAGAAATATCATTGTGAAACTCTTATGTATACACACAAGACCATGCATAGCTATCAATACTTTGGAATGATAAACAACAGCAATGACAACAGCTGTGACACCAGCTAAGCACTCTTCATGCAGCTCTGACTGCACAAATTTAGAAATATCCCTACCTGTGAAGCAACACTTAGATCAAAACTCTTCTGCACACTCCACTTGGCTCTCCAACCTTTCACCTCTGCAAGCACTGTATCAATGGCTTTATGCTGCAAACATCAAAGTCATGAACAAATACAGATGGTATATGTACAAGGATGTCATGCCGGAGATCATTAATTAACCAACAACTATATGATGTTCACAGTTTACAGATAATATTTGAATAGATGCACTAGGATCAAATGGCACAACAACAACAACAACAACAACAACAAAGCCTTTAAGTTCCAAACAAGTTGGGGTAGGCTAGAGTTGAAACCCAACAAAAGCCATCAAGGTTCAGGCACGTGAATAGCTGTTTTCCAAGCACTCCTATCTAAGGCTAAGTCTTTGGGTATATTCTATCATTTCAAGTCTCCTTTTATTGCCTCTACCCAAGTCATCAAATGGCACTAATTTTCAAAAAAACCAGGTTATTGGCACATGTCCAAGAAAGTTGAGTACGTTACCACAGGAACAGAATACAAACCTCATCTATGGTAGTGCATCCTGGAAGAAGCTTTACAGCAAATATATTAGAAATAACACTCACAGTAAATTGTGCATTGACACCTCGTAGACTTTCTTGCTCAAACGACTCAGGGAACTGAATAGGAAATGATCTAGCCTCATCACGACGAATCCCAATTAATGAACCAAGAAATCCAGCTGGTTGTGTGTAAATGATAAAAAAGGGCATAGTATGTGTATGTATGCACATGACGTGCATGCTGAAGCGTGATAATAAGCTTTTGGACACTCAAGTGAGCATCTATCAAGAACAAAGTCAGTTAAACCATCGTCAACTGCCCCATTAAAATAATTGGGACCAGAAGGACTTATAAAGTTCACATCCGCACAAGCCTACGGAATTGGCAATACAAATCTTCGGTAGCTCTAGAGAGAACAGTCAAATGAAATCAGGATGACAAATTCAATGGAAACCGTAAGGAAATTTAGTTAGCCTAGATTCCACTCTACATATTTCTTTGAACTAAGAGAGCAGTGAACTGCAGCCTTTCAGACTGCATAGTTCTTGCTCTTCCTAAGTACCTTAATATGAAGGGCAGTGTTTCTAGGTGATTATTATCCATGGTCTTAATATGAGGGGCAGTGTTTCAACCATTTTCTGTCAAAATTCAAAAAGATATGGTACAGATATCTTCAGACTAACAAAAGCAGTCAGTCACAACACAATAAATGGCACATGAAAAATAATATTACCAAAACAGGAGTGTGACTTGGAACTACTAATGAACATTTCAGGTCATTACAAATCTGCATGACACACTAAGAAAAGGTTTGACGAAACCCCCCTTAACTCAGTCAGGATATATATACCTTGCTAAGGACTAAAACACTTGAGTCCTATTCCATTCCTGTATATTTATACCTCAGCAGGTTCCACTTCTCCTACAAAATAATAAGAATAAGAATAAAATATAAGGGAATTTACTTCAGAGGGCAACTTGCATCCCCAGCCCAAAATAATACCAGATCGGTAATTTAGTAATAATTTTATTTGTTTTATTTAGTACCCAAAAACATAACAGTGCTACACACACCTGTCTAGCCTCACAAATTGATTATAGTACGCTAGCAGCACTACACAAATCGAATCAGGTTTCAGTTAAGAGAAGGCTAGCAGTAAATGATATATGCCTGTCAAATTACTTTAATTTACAACGGCAGTGTTTGCTTTATGGGACTGACTGGAAAAAATAATTAGGCACGCCCCATGCTAATAATTCAGCCAGCATTATGTGATATGAACCTACTGAAGAATGTCAACTCAGGGTTCAGTAGGAGAGCATGTGCACTTTGATAATCAGTTCAGTTCACCAGTAGAGTGAGAAAACCTACAGATGTGACAGAAAGAGGACAGGAATTAACAAATCTTTTGGGCTCACTAAACACATAAGCTGCACGATTTAACTTCAGAATAACCAGGGTTGGTACCCAATCAGATCCTTCTTGTGTCCAAACATATCTGAGGCCAAATAAAAAAATAAGTCCTCTGCTGCAGTAAGAAGCAAGACAAATCTTCTAGAAATCTGCACTTTGACTTGCATTTTGTGTATTATTATATTACTATTATCAAGCCCTGACACTTAACTTAGATAACCAGCACACATATAACCAATAATCGAGATTAGTCTTCTTTTTTTTCACTTTCCCTGTAAGCTACTTTGATTGCACATTAGAGCAATTCTAATTCCTCAGAAAAGAAAAAAATCAGATCAGTGGTCGCTTGCATTCAATTAACTAGTACTAGGCAACCTACATACATGGCACCTCCATTTTATGAACTTTGAGGAGCTAACTCGTGACCATGCTGAAATACTCAGTCAGGCCATTTTCATCTCTCACAAAAAGGAAGCAATGCCTAGCAGCTGCAGCCAAGTGTTCTAGAAACAAAAATTAAGAAACAAAGCTCTCATAGTCCAAGAAAATGAAGCTTAAATCAGTATGCGACCCCACTAACCTTGCTTACAGAAGTTGTACCAAGACTATTCCAGAGAAAAGCTGAAACAACTATCGTCCCTTCAGGAAGTGAAAATTTAACTCAAGCAATCACATTTAATTCAGTCTAAAGAACCAAATATATATGCAGTTCTGAGTGGAATGTCGTTGTTGTGGGGTGGCAGTGAGGCAGACAGCAAGCCGGCCTTTCCTCATTAATTAGATATGATTTGTTAGGATTTGACTGGACCTTCCTTAGGGGATCAAGGAATCCTCTCTATATAAAGGGAGGTGACATATCGAGGGAAGAACTAATCCCAAGTCTCCCCCAAGCCAACTCTTCCCAGCTATCTTCAAACGGTGTTCATAAGAGACGTCAACCATCAATATAACAATAATTCAAACTAAACGAACTCTAAACCTCAAACATAAGCATCAAGGTCATGGTCATAAACAACAGATGAACATCAGGTCCCTTACTGGCCATAGTAGCTTAGACAATAAGACATTAAACTACTCAACAGAGAATACTGATAGACTTTCAAAGCATCATCCCTACAATGTGCCAACAGTGGAATATCCAGATTGCCAGTGATTAATTTGTGTCATGGCAAGTTCCCACAAGTACGATCTGAAAAGTATCAAGCATACAAGTTTAATTAGTTTCATAGCTTACTACATCAGTTCAGTAAGAAGAAATAGTAGTGATGCCTAATAAAGTTTAATATTTACAATAGATCTTAGTGAAAGAGTGCAAAAAAAAAAAAAGATCATCAGCTTGTGGTTGATTAAAAAGTCAACTACTGCCTGGGAATATCTTGCCATTATCAAGAATTGTTCATAACAAGTTGAATATGACCAGAAACTAGAGTAGATGTGATATTGCATTGTCAGATCTCAGTTTTCAAAATCAAAAGCATCATTTACTTGTAGAACAGAAAATCAGAAATGAGTGTACCAGAAGGGGAGAAGAGGAGGACGTTGACCGCGGAGCTGTGGGCGGTGCTATTGGGGACGTTGACCGTGGAGCTGTGGGCAGGGTGGGGAGCTTGTTGTCCTAGCCATCTGACGCTACCACCCAGATCTGCAATCCCAAACCGGTCACGGAACGCCGCCGCCGAAATAGGGAGGGGCGAATCTCGAAGCAGCAAGGCAATGGAGGTAGAGGAGAGGGGTTAGGGGTAGGGGAGTGGGGACGCTGGGGAAACCAACCTTGACGTCGTGGTCACCACCGGCGTTGGCGAGGCGGCGGGAGGCGGGGTGGAAGTCGAGGCTGAGCACCGGCTGCTGGCCGTGCCAATTGATCTGCAGAGTCCCACCCCGCATCTTGTGGAGTGCTGGATGGGTTCCGCCGCTCCTCCGATCTGGCGTTCCTCCTCGAGGGATTTCTCCTCCGCTAGTCTGCAGCCTTCGCCTCCAATCTCTCTCTCACCCTCTAGGGTTTGGATTTTGGGACGACTGGACCCCATTGCGGAGGAAGAGACGCGAGAGTGGCGGTGGCTGGCGGTGGAGAAGGGGCGACCGAGGGTGGCGGCCGGCGACCGGGGGGCAGTGACTGGCGGCCGGCGGGGCTGGGTGCCGTGGGGAAAGGAGGCGAGAGAGCGGAGTGGAGCTGTTATCAGAGACTCGTCGGGACGAAACGGGTCACTCCTCGAGATCTCGGCCCCGAAAAAATTAGGGCATGTTTGGTTCTAACCTACTTATCAGTTAAAAAATAAATAAGTGATTTATTTTATTAAACACCACAAACTTATAAGTCACCCCTGCTTAAAACTTATAAGTCACCCTTTTCCGCGTGGGGCTCACACCTTTAATGAGCTTATAAGTCATCTACAACCAAACATGCATAACTTATAAGTCACTGGTTTTCAGTCACCTGACTTAATAAGTCACCTGATTTATGGAAATCAAACATGCCCTTATAATAGACTGAAGAGTTAAGGCCGTGTTTAGTTGGCCAAATTTTGGAAATTTGGCTACCGTAGCTATTTTGTTTTTATTTGACAATTAGTGTTCAATCATAGATTAATTAGACTCAAAACGTTCGTCTCTCAATTTTCAACCAAACTGTACAATTAGTTTTTTCGTCTACATTTAATGCTCCATGCACGTATCGCAAGATTCGATGTGATAACTACTGTAGTATTTTTTGAGAAAACTTTTTGGAACTAAACAAGACCTAAGTCCGAATTCCGCGGCACTGACCCCTCCCCCTCCCCCTCCCGTCTCTTCGGACTTAACTCTTCAGTCTATGGGGGGGCACGACTGGATTCGGACAGGAGACGGGAGGGGGAGGGGTCGGTGGACCGCGGAATCCGGACTTAACTCTTCAGTCTATCGTATTTTATAATTTTTTCAGGCCCGAGATCTCTAGGAGTGACCTGTTTCGTCCCAACGAGTCTCTGATAACAGCTCCACTTATTAGTGATGAGGGGGAGGGGTCGGTGGACTGCGGAATCCGGACTTAACTCTTCAGTCTATGGGGGGGCACGACTGGATCTGGATGGGAGACGGGAGACGGGAGGGGGAGGGGGAGGGGTCGGTGGACCGCGAATCCAAACTTAACTCTTCAGTCTATGGTGGGGGGCACGACTGAATCCGGACGGGAGACGAGAGGGGGAGGGGGAGGGGTCGGTGGACCGTGGAATCCAGACTTAACTCTTCAGTCTACCGTATTTGATAATTTTTTTGGGCCCGAGATCTCTAGGAGTGACCCGTTTCGTCCCAACGAGTCTCTGATAACAGCTCCACTTATTAGTGGCGCGTATTGTTAAGAAGAGTCTAAGATAACTTGTCATTAGTGACGCGTTTTGTTTCCTGACAATGGGCCACACCTAACTAGCGACGTGTTCTATTTACATGCGTCACTGATCTGACATTAGTGACGAGTTTCAATAGTAGGTCACTGATTAAGGTGTCTCCTTTGTGCTGTTTTGGCATAGTGTTGCAATGGAATGATTATATTGGTTCTTCCAAGCGCACATCACATGGGTAACAATCTTCCTCGGATATTTTCGGTCAGCAATGGCTGGCCAGATCAGGGGAGATGGATATATTTCCGGGTGCTTTGAAGTGGCAACCCAAAGAAGGAATTATGGAAACAGCTATGGTAGTATTGTACACATGATGACAATGTTTGTCGCTATGGTATTGGTGCCGGTTAAACTTTCCTAAGTTTGACGATGTTTGTAAAAAATATTAATAACATTTATAATTCTAAATAAGTTTATTATTAAAATAGATTCAACAATCTATCTAACGATGATACCCGTGACTAAAGTTTAATCCCTGTCACATTGAATGTTTGGACACTAATTTAGAATATTAAACATAGACTAATTGCACAGATGAAGACTAATTTGCAAGATGAATCTATTATTAGTCCATGATTTGACAATGTGGTGCTAAGTAAACATGTGCTAATAATGGATTAATTAGGCTTAATAGATTCGTCTCGCAAATTAGTCTCCATCTATGCAATTAGTTTTATAATTATCTCATGTTTAATCCTCTTAATTAAAATCCGAACGTCCGATGTGACAGGGACTAACTGGATCCAAACACCCCTGTACTCCCTCCGTCCATAAGTCTCCATCGTGAAAGCCTTGAGCCCAGAGACCAAGGAGCACCG